CAAGGCCGCCTATGACGCCGGCGTCAACTTCTTCGACACGAGCGAAAACTACTCGGCCAGCGAGGCTGAGATCGTGCTCGGCAAGGCCATCAAGCACTTTGGCTGGAAGCAAAACGACCTCGTCATCTCCACCAAGGTCTACCACGGCCAGAACAACTCGGCCCACATCGATCAGCCCGAGCGCTGGCTTAACAACGTCGGCCTCTCGCGCAAGCACATTATCGAGGGCGTCAACCTGTCTCTGCAGCGCCTCGGCCTGCCCTACGTGGACGTCGTCTTTGCCCACCGTCCGGACCGCACCACGCCCGTCGAGGAGGTCGTGCGCGCCTTCAACCTGCTGCTCGACCAGGGCAAGATTTTTTACTGGGGCACCTCCGAGTGGACCGCGCCCGAGATTGCCGACGCCTGGCGCGCCGCCGACCAGCTGGGCCTGGTCGGTCCCATTGTCGAGCAGCCCCAGTACAATCTGCTGGTGCGCCGCAAGGTCGAGGACGAGTTCCGCTACCTCTACGAAAAGTACGGCCTGGGCCTCACCATCTGGTCGCCTCTCAAGCAGGGCATCCTGAGCGGCAAGTACAACGGCCACGCCACGCCGCCGGCCGGCAGCCGGCTGGCCGAGTCGCGCGACAAGTACACGGTGGGCTACAGCAAGACGTTTGGCAACGAGACCTGGCAAAAGGAGCTGCAGCAGGTCGACAGCCTGCGGCCCATTGCGGCCAAGCTCGGCGACGGCGTCACACTGGCCCAGCTGGCCCTCGCCTGGGTCCTGACCAACAAGAACGTGTCGTCGGCCATTATCGGCGCCTCGCGGCCGGAGCAGGTTGCCGAGAACATTGCTGCTCTGCAGGTGGTCGAGAAGCTGACGCCTGAGATCCTGGCCGAGATCGACTCGGTCCTGGGCAACGCCATCCCGGCACCACCGCGGCGATTCTAAGAGGGTGTGCGTCTGCTGGGACGTGCGCAGAAATTAATACCGGTATATAGAAAAATACAGAATATTTGAGGTTTTAAAATGTGTGCTCGTCCAAAATTGTACGTCTCGAGTTGTTTTGTTTACGTCATGACAATCCGGAGCCATGTGTCAGATGATACGGGTCTTTATGGTATCTCTCTTTTGTTTCCATAACTTCACCTGTCTCCGTTGCCTTTATTTATCTCCTTGCCACGGTACCAACAGCTAGGAGACCAGATTTCTGCGGTCCAGGAGTAACTACAGGAATCCAATGGTCGACGGGTAGCCTCTGGCATCTCGCATCTCAGATCGATTGGAAAGAAGATGACGCTACAGCACGGCTAATGTAGCGCTGGTAGGTCCCGCAGGAACCCTGTTCTCTCCAATTCCCTCCATACCCCCATTCCACACTCCTCACAGGACACGAATGGCCACGTTGTGATAAAACGGACAGAATGGGATCATCAAACGGGGCCCGAACCTGGCCAAGCCTCTTTGGTCGTATTATGATCAGCTGGAAAACGGCGGCCCAAAGAGGATACTCGTCAACACAGCAGAACAGCACACAACCCGTTCATATATGGAGCTGAGATGCAGTCCACTCTTCTACAGAATTGCTCATCCGTTTATCCCCAGAGATTTTGTATTCCACGAAATCAGGACGTGCTGTTGATCCCTCCCAGCTGCTCGCGGAAACTTGATTAGCAAGCCAGTCGGTGGCATCGGAAACCAGACGCATTTCCAACAGCCATATAATACCTGCAAGTTTTAACGGAATTTTAAGAGAAGCAGCAATATTGAAGTGCATACCGGGAGACATAGAGTCCTACTCGTGAATCTGTTTGTAGTTTAATCTGCTGCTCCTCGTTCAATTCCATGAGCTGTATTCAATCAGAATTTTGGTATCGACAGAGACAGGGAACGCTTTCCAAATGAAAACTGTAACGCTATAATATTCAGCTGATCGAAAATACGATCATTTACTTTTAATTCCACCCGAAGCCGAAGCATATAGGAAACCCATCGCCAGCGCTCACTTACACGCAAAGAAGTTGCTACCAAATGCGGTTTAGCGCGTTTTGTCCAACGGACCTTCACCGCCCAATGCACAGACCCACAATAATTCCCCTGCCGTGCCTGCCTCACTTGTCTTGGGTACGCTCGCCATTTTCTGCCGCCTTTACCACTTTTTTTTTCTTCACCAAAAGCAAGCGTCGCATTGTTTCCTCGTTTCGCACACGAGCAAGACAACCACGCCTCTCCTTCCTTCCCGGGCCATGGATATTCTAAAGGTCCTTTCACGCGGCCTCAAGCAGCCCAACGGCGGCAAGCCGGCCAAGGGCAATACGAATTTTCTTCCCACAGGCGCCGCGACGCTGCCGTCCGCCGGCTCCAGTATCAACCCACAGCTGTACCACGACCGTGTGGCCGGCCTGATTGCAGGCAGCAGCGGCAGCAAGAAGAGTCGGAAACGGAAGCGGAGTGTAGATGCAGCGGGAAATAGTGGCGACGAAAGCGGCGGCGGAAGCGAAAGCGGACGTGGCAGCGACAGCGACGAGAGCGAAGACAGCGATGACCTGAACGAGCTCGACTTTTTCGGCGAACGTTCTGCGACCACGGCCGACAATGCCTCGTCCTCGGCCTCCAAAGCGGTCGCTAACTCAAAGAAAGCGAAAAAGGCAGCCAAGAAACAAAAACGGGACCCGTCTAACGATCTGCTAGACGAAGACGAATGCCGCCAGATCCTGCGGTCGCACCGACTGAAGCTGACGCTGCTGACCGATCGACGCGCCGCCGCCGAAGCAGCAGCCGAAGCAGCAGCCGCTGCCGTGGCCGATAAACTGGAAAAGAAGAAAAAGAAAAAGAGCGAGAAAAAGACCAAGCGGGCGGAAGAGGAGGCGGCCGCAGCCGCCAGCAAAGCCGCCAAGGACGAAGCCAAGAAGCAATTCTTCTCGCAGCCCTTGACAGCATTCACGCAGCTGCGGCAGACATACAACCTGTCAGCACGCTTGGCCGACAACCTCGAGCGTCTGTTGTACCGGATCCCAACCGAGGTGCAGATGGCGAGTCTTCCGCTGCTGCTGGACCCGGCGCTGGCACTCAGCAAGACGACGCTTCCCGGAGACGCCGCGGCAGGCGCCACGAGCACAACAGCCATTGATTTTATGGCGGTGGCACCGACAGGTAGCGGCAAGACGCTGAGTTTCTTGGTGCCAGCAATCAACGGCATTCTAAAGCGGCGGGCGGAGGACAAGGAAAAAGCCGGTGACGATACTACCAACAACGAGACTAGCGGACGTCAGAAGCACAATCACATTCTCGACACAGTTGTTGTGGCACCGACACGCGAGCTGGCGCACCAGATTGCCAACGAGGGCAAGAAGCTGACTGTGGGCACTGGTGTGCGCGTTGTGGCCATGAGCAAAGGCATGCGCGTGCAGGCGGACGACAGCGACGAGGAAGCGGAAAACGACGCGAGTGACAGCGAGGATGACAACGACAACATCGAAGAGGATGACGAAGGGGACGACGGCAAGCCCAAGGCGTCCAAGGCGACGGTCACACGCGCCGACATTCTCGTGACAACACCGCTCATGCTGCTCAACTCACTGGCCCGCCGCGCTCTCCCAACGGTGCGCTCGCTCGTCCTCGACGAGGCCGACGTTCTGCTGGACCCGCTGTTCCGCGAGCAGACTCTCGGCATCTGGGCCGCGTGCACACACCCCGACCTGCGCGCCACGTTCTGGTCCGCCACCATGGCGTCCAACATCGAGGCCCTGGTCGTCGAGCAGCTGGCGGCTCAGCAGTCTTCGCAAAAACAGGACGAGGGCCAGAAGCGCCTGCTAGTCCGCCTGGTCGTCGGCCTCAAGGACACGGCCGTGCCCAACGTCACGCACCGCCTCGTGTACACGGCCACCGAGCAGGGCAAGCTCCTGGCCATGCGCCAGCTGCTGCACCCGTCCACAAGCACGTCCGTCACTGGCACGTCTGGTAGTGGTGGTGGCGGCGAGTCGGAAGCCCTGCGGCCGCCCTTTCTCGTTTTCACGCAGACTGCCGAGCGCGCCACAGCACTGCACGACGAGCTCAAGTACGACATCCCGGCGGCCGCGGGCGGCGCCGACCGTCTGGGCGTGCTGCACGCCGCCCTCGCCGACAGCGCACGGTTGGCCGTTGTGCGCAAGTTCCGCGCCGGCCAGGTGTGGGTGCTCATTACGACGGATGTGCTGGCGCGCGGCATCGACTTTGCGGGCGTCAACGGCGTCGTCAACTACGACGTTCCCGGCTCGGCTGCGGCATACGTGCACCGTGCCGGCCGCACGGGTCGTGCAGGCCGTCAGGGTGGCCTGTCCGTGACGCTGTACACCAAGGAGGACATTCCGTTTGTCAAGAGCGTGGCAAACGTGATTGCCGCCAGCGAGAAGCAGGCCGCCAAGAACGGTGGCACCGCCAACACAGAAAACAAGGGCATCCAGCAGTGGCTTCTGGACGCGCTGCCCGAGGTGTCCAAGGCAGACAAGAAACGGCTCAAGACACGGGGTGTCGAGTCGCGGCGGAGCACGACGACGGCCGGCACCGCCGACAAGGCCAAGAACAACAAGGGACAGCACATCAAGGGAAAGACCAGTGGCCGCGACAGCAGGGAGACCATTCCCAATGCGAAGGCACGCATCACGTCCAAGAGTGCCTGGGAGCGCCGCCGGGACAACAACCGGCGCGACGCCATTGCGAGCAGCAAGCAGCGCAAGCAGCAGAGCCAAGTCGCAGGCGATGATGACGAGGGCGAGTGGGGAGGTCTTGATTAGTGTTGGGAAGAGCGTGTGATAGTCAAACGGCATATTGGTTCATTTTTCCATTTCGGCGTACAAAATATTCACGATAGGCGGCGCACATATGCATGCCATATACTTATATATCAAAATATATTATTTACATTCCAATGACAGTCGTAGGCTTTGAAAAGTTGCATTTGCTCATATCCCAGCCGTACTTCCAGCGGTAGTATCTACTCCTCCACGAATTTATGCACCCAGCCTACCCACCCATTCACTTACCACTCGGCAATCTCGCCGTCCTTGGGCTTCTGCATGCGCACAACCTTGTCGCAGTTGAGCAGGCACAGCGGGTCCAGCGCCGCCTTCATCTTGCGCATCACCGCCACGGTCTCCTCGCCCACCTCGTGTGGCAGGTAGTCGCGCTTCACCAGGCCCACGCCGTGCTCGCCCGTCACAGTGCCCTCCAGCTCAATCGCCCGCTTCACCATGCGGTGCACAAACTCCTCGGCCGTCGCGCGCTGCTCGGGGGCGTACAGGACAATTGTGTGGAAGTTGCCGTCGCCCACATGGCCCACAATCGTGCCGCGCAGACCCACGCGCCGCAGGTCGGCCTGGGCCTCCTCAATGGCGTCCGGCAGCCGGCTGATGGGCACGGCCACATCGCCCGTCCACACGCGCTCGCCAGGCTGCTTCGTGGCAATGGCGCTCCACAGCGCCTCCTTGCGCGCGCTCCACAGCTCGGCCTGCTCGTCGGCCGACTTGGCGAAATCAAACGACACGGCGTTGGCCGCCTTGGCCGCCGCCTGCACGGCGTCAATCTGCTCGCGCACGGCGCGCGCCGTGCTGCCGGCAAACTTGAACATGAGCGTGGGTGCCTCGGCCCAGCGGCGCAACGTCGAGCCGGCCGTGTTGATGCACTTCATCTGCGCGTCGTCCAGCACCTCAATGGCGGCCACGGGCACGCCCTCACCGACAACACGCGCGGCACAGGCCGCGGCCGCGCGCAGGTCGGGGAACGCCGCCACGGCCACGGACGTCTCCGTGGGGCGGACGGCCAGCTTCAGGGTGGCCTCGGTGACCAGGCCCAGCGTGCCTTCGGAGCCAATCAGCAGGCGTGTCAAGTCGTAGCCGGCGGAGCTCTTGCGGGGCCGCTGGCGCGTCTTGATCACGGTGCCGTCGGCGAGGACGACAGTCAGCGACAGCACCCAGTCGCGCATGGTGCCGTAGCGGTACGCGTTTGTGCCGCTGCAGCCCGTGCCGATCATGCCGCCAATCTGGGCGCCCGGGCCCGGGTCAGGCGGGAAGAGGAGGCCCTGCTCCGCGAGCACCTCGTTCAGCGCCTCCCAGCCCAGACCCGGCTGTACGACGGCGTCCAGATCCTCCTTGTGCACGGTAATGATGCGATCCATGTGGCGCGAAAAGTCAATGACGATGCCGCCGCGCGTGGGCGCAAAGTTGCCCTCGAGCGACGTGCCGCCGCCGAACCCAATCACCGGGATGCGGCGCGCGTGGCAGATCTTGACGACGCGCGACACCTCCTCGGTGCTGCTCGGGTACACAACACAGAACGGGTGCGGCGTGCCCTCGGGTGCGCTGTGCGACGACCAGTCCGACGCCGAGTGCGTGGCAATGTCTGCCTCGGCCGTGCTCACGTTGTCGGCGCCCACAATGGCCACAAAGTCGGCCCACGCGGCCTCGAGCTCGGCGCGGCTCGTGCGGTGGCGGGGCGCGCGGGTGGCCGACAGCGGCAGCGTCGAGTCGGGTGAGGGCTCCTGGGGCGTCTTGGTGCCCAGGTAGTAGCATGCGGCGCCGACAAAGAGCAGCATAAAGGTGGTGGCCGCGTTGCGCGACGACGCCGTGTCCTGGCGCTGCTGTGCAATCTTCTCGCGCTCCGCCTTTTCGCGGGCCATGCGCGAGCTGATGCTCTCGAGCATCTGGCCACGGAAACTGCGGCCGTCGGCATCGACGCCGGGCGGGCCAGCGGCTGGCCTTCTGTTCTGAGGTGTGGAGGAGGAGGAAGAGGATGGCGGTGGCGGGTTGTTGCTGGGCGGCTTCGAGGCAAAGGAGCGTCGCAATAAAGGTGCCGGCGAGGCGCACCGGGCCAGATCCCGGGCACCAGCAGCAGTCGACGCTGACAGAGCGCGAGAAGCGCCGCGGCCGAGCCGGTGCTGCAGCATGGTCGTGGAATGCTCGCGGAGCGATCGCGGAAAAAAAGTTCTCTTTTTTTTCCTCTCGGCCGGTCGTCGATGCACCGGACACGGAGCAGCACTGCGATGTCTCGTATTTGCCCGTACTGTCCTCCCTCTAGACAATGCACGAGAGTCGAGTGTGTTGGGCGCAGCCTCGACCAATATATGCCGCGGTTTGCAGGTCTCGAAGGGAGAAGGCTACGGAGTAGACGAGGAGAAGTCGTCGGAGTACGTTCGTCTCGTTCTCCGCAGCTCCTGCCGTTTTCGCGAGTTTTGCTCCAACAGAAAGCACTACGCCGGTTGCGGCCCCACAATTTTCGACATTCCCCCACCACCGCCCACTAAACCTGCTGACCTCACTGTCCGAAATGCGCTGCTAGGCCAGGCACTACCGGCTCACTAGCAAATAACATCACACCAAACAGCCGCTGCATAAATGTTACAATCCGAGGATAGTATGGCGAAGATAGTTGTTGCTGTTGATTGGAAATCGCGGACATGTTTCGACGTGGATACGGAAATATTGCATTTGTGCAAGTAGGAATAGTTTCTCTGTATGAGATGTATCTATTTTTCTCTACTTTCTTTCGCGTTCCTAAATAAACACATCAGACACATTCAAACTGTAAGACAATCATCCTTGGGAGTTGATTCTACGAAAATATCTAACAAAAGGGCCGGTCTGCGTCAGTGAATCCAAAGGCAACTCTTAGGATCTTTAGAGGAGACGATACAAGTATGAAGTTGCAAGCTACGATGATTGTCCATATCTGCCGTCACTATATGCCGTACAAGACTTACATATTAGAGTGTGCTTTCTAGGTTGCAGATATCCGAGTTCAGTCACTTTATGCGACAAAAGACGTAGCTGTATGATCAATGCATTTCGTCATGTTTGTCGCCTGCCGAACTGTACCTTTCTTCGCAAAGCACTACCTGTCAACCTCGCCGATGTCAGAGGATATGAAGCTACAACACACGTCGCAAGTAAACCACTAGTGAGAACAGACACAAAGAGACCTTGCAATAGAGCATACAAACAAAAAGATGACGATGTTAAACCACGGAATCATGACGTATGAAACACTCCCAACCAGACACTGTCAACCAGTTACAAAGTGTTGATCATTGCCTCTTGTCAAAGAACTACGTTTGGTGCTAAATAGTTCAACGGTGGCAGCCGCCAGTTATGTCAATGTCATGGCCGCTCACTTTGGCACTTAGTGGACTAAAAAGGATATTCAAGCCGGGGCGGGGAGGTCTCTGCAGAGTCGGATTGCTTCCACGCCAAGCAAGAGTCGCCAAAAGAGTCTGAGTATCTCTAAGCCATCCAGTCTGTTTCCGAGCCGTCCGGTGGTGTGTGGATAGATACCTCATACATATGCAGGTCGTCGAACGGCACAATCGTCATGTTTCTTCATATATAGTGGCTGTCTCCCCATCTCTTTGGAAATTTGGGCATGATGATCACCTCGGAGCACGTTCCGCCCGAAGCGAGACTGATTTTTGCTTTCCACTGCCGGCTGATTTTGTTTTGTTTCTGTCAACGGGGCGCGTCTCGGCCGTTGATCTCTCCGTTGCCATTTGCTTGTTGGTCGGGCTGTATTATCTTGCGTTTCGTGCTGCCAAGCTTGGGCTTGGCATGCTCATCACACGACCAACGAACAGAGAAAGGGAGAGAAAAAGAGGGTCTGCATGCATAGACAAGCCATAGCGCTGCACGGACGACTTTACCTGCACCGTGAGACCATTTTGTCAGTCTGTCCCGGTTCAATTGGACACGAGTGTGTTTCTTTGCTGTGCGTCGCTGCGTTCGGTCGACTGTACCTTCTCTTTCTGCAGCCCGATCAGACGGCCAAATGAAATGCAGAGGTCGTCGCACGGGTACGCGACGAAAATGAGAGATGAGGTTGAAAAGGAAGACTTGGGCCCAGAGGACCAGCAACTGAGACCGGACTGAGATCCAGACTCCACTGTCGTGCAAATGGGCTCTGTGTTCCTTTCGAGCTGTGCTCACCTAGCTCAGTGTGCCGCTTTGTATACAAACGATCTAGGCCCATGAGGCCCTCGTCCTACAGCCACTGGAATGAATAGCTGTATATGTCATAGTGTTGGAACTACTCCGTACGAGTAATACTCCGGACTCCGAAAGAAGAAGAAAACAAAGTGGATCGCTGGTGGTCGTTGACAGTGGGGGTAGCGTTGCCAGTTAGGGCCAATCAGCGGTCGTAGTTGCCGGCAAGGCGAGTTCAGTGCCTGCAAAGTCGTCACTCACCGAGAAGAAGGCAGGAGCGACACGACAGCGCGGCGCCCTGACCTTGTCCTACGTCTTCTAATCAGTCCCTGCTTCATCTCTACGTTCCCTTTGTATGACATATAGTCGTTCATAGCTTCTCTTTCTCTCGATCGGTACAATCGCGTCCATCGCTCTGCTAGTGCAGTGTGGTGCCGTGCCCAGCAAGGCGCAGTTGGCTTAGGCAGTAGAAAACTACCCGTCAGCTCCCTCTTTGTCGCTTCCTTTTTGGGTTTTTTGGCGTCCGCGCCTGTCAGTTTCCACTCCCCAATGACGAATGGACCCACTCTTTTTTCCAACGTCAACCTGATGCAGCCCACGTGCCCTCCTTCACTCGACATACATCACCATTGCTCCTTCCTGTCCACACAAGGATGTACAAGCCAAGTGTGTATCATTGCACCCCAATTGCTACCATGTGGTACCACAAACAGAAGGCACGACCAGCGTCTTGGGCCTCCTTTCGTACGTCGTAGCTAGTGTTTTGAGTCCATTGTGTCTCGTGCCAGGCTTCGTTCCTGCTATCTGATCTCCGTCTTGGCGATTTCTGGTTCTTGCCTCCCCTCCCTTTATTATCAATCACCCCCTCGTTCGTTCCTCCTTCTGCTTTTGTTCTCTTCCATCCCTTTCTAACTCATATCTCTTTGCTTCCCCTTTCAACACACTTGTCTTGCTTTCCAGCTTCTGTGCATCACATCACTTTTGCATCTCATCATTTTCGGTTTCCATTCTCGTAGCATCACCAAGCCTCTCCCTTCTGCTTGGTCCTTATTTCGATGAAGAAATCTTTATCTAAACCGCCCGATTCTGACCGCCCGCGTTTGTCCCTTACGCAAGCGGATGGAGACCTTTTTCGCCTCTCTCGCAGTTCGTCGCGACGACCTACCGCAGGCTCGTCGTCACCCGCGTCCCTGAGTGAATCCAACCTTTTTCACTACCAGCAGCAGCAGCAGCTGAAGCAGAAGCGCCAGGAGGAGGAGGAAGTGCATGACCATAGTGCTATCAACGAAACCAAGAACAAGAACAAGAACAAGAACCCTACATCGGCCATCGCACACAATGGTTGCTCTATTGTCCAGCAGCCCGTGCACGGCGGCGACAACAATACCGCAGGCAGCTCGTCTGGCGGCAATACCACTGCTGCCGTGTCGCCAGCGTCGACATTTACTGCACCACTACAAGAAGCATGGCCGGGGCCTGTCTTAGAGGACGTCGGTAGCGGCAAGGAGAAGGAGAAGGAGGCCAATTTGCCTCCCTTTCAACCTGCCAGCACCAACACCGACCCCAACCTCAACCTCAACGGCAACCCTACCAACGTCAACGTCAACGTCAATGGCAACGACACTAGCACCGACACGAAGGCAGGTGGCACCAACTCTGCCAATGGCAATGCTGCCACAGTACTTGGCGAGTCCGAAGAGACGACGGTTTCTGCCGAAAAGGCCACCACCACCGTGTTCAGCAAGCTGTCTACCCTCGTCGTGTCGTTCTTCGTGACCACCAAGATGGTGTTGTTTCACAGCTGGCTCAACGTCTTCTTGGTCTTTGTCCCCGCCGGTATCATTGTCGGCGCCATCCCTGGCCTACCCCCCGCCGTCGTCTTCTCGGTCAACGCAATCGCCATCATCCCGCTGGCCGGCCTCCTGGGCTTTGCCACCGAGACCGTAGCCCACGACATGGGTGATTCCATTGGCGCTCTGCTCAACGTCACCTTTGGCAACGCTGTAGAACTTATTATCTTGTTCGTTCCCCCGTATTGTACTTCCTGTGCATCCATCCCTTATTCGGTCGTCGGCTAACCCACTCAGTATGTATGTGCCTCCCGTGAACTACTCGAGACAAGAACGAACGAAAAGAGGGCTGCTCTCTGTCGCCCTTCGACAAGCCATCGATCGCCCTCTTTTATCCGTCAATCGCGTCAGGAGTCATCATGGTCTTCTCTTTTGTGCTCTTCCAGCGCCCTCTTGATGTCCTTCTCTTTCTTGGCTCTTCCTTGTCTACTCTCTCGTCCGCCCAGCTTTGGTCCACCAAAGTACCCTGGCATGGCTGCGTCAGCCCGTATTGCAACCCAATGCGTGACACTCATTGCATGACCCTTTCGTAATCATCCCACCTGTCCACTTTACAAACTAACACTCGCTTTTCTGTTACTCCCCCACGTAATTAGCATTGCTTTGGTCAAGGTATGATTTCTCTTCGTCGTCCTAGCGTTTGTCTCTAGGCTAAACGGTCGCATGCACTGAACGCATATACTAATAACTCCCAGGATGAAATTCGTATTGTGCAAGCCTCGCTCCTGGGCTCCATTCTGGCCAACCTCCTTTTGATCCTAGGCATGAGCTTCCTCCTCGGCGGCCTTCGATTCCGTGAACAGGTATGTTTGTACTGCTGTGTCTCCTTCAGACAGACGTCGCGTCTAACTGTTCCTCTAGATCTACAACAGCACAGTCACACAAATGAGCGCGTGCCTCTTGAGTCTTAGTGTCATCAGCCTCGTCCTGCCGGTAAGTTCACATTCGGTTCCAAAAGAATTTATTTTGTCAGTTAAATTATTAACGACCCAGACCGCTTTCCATGCCTCTTTCAAGAGCTCTACCTTGGCCGATTCCGAGTCTCTCAAGATCAGCCGCGGCACCAGTGTAGTAAGTCTTGTCGTCCACTCCGAATCGGTGCTGATCTTATTGCTAACCTTTTTGTTAGGTCCTGCTTTTGGTTTATGGCATCTACCTCCTGTTCCAGCTCAAATCCCATACGTATATGTACGAGTCGACGCCGCAGCACATCATCGATGAGGAATCCACACCTGGACCGGCCGCTGGCTGGTTGGACTCATCGAGCTCGGATGACGGCTCCTCCTCCTCGTCCGATTCGGACACGTCTGGTCACTCCCGCGACACCATGAAGCAACGCATGCGCCGTGTCATTCGCGGTGGTCGTCGCCGCAAGTCCAGCGTCGCTTCGTTGGACACAGCCGAGAGCCTCTTTGCTGGTACTACGCGGGCGCCCTCATTCAGTACTCAGGCCGCTGGTGGTAACGATGAGTCCATGCCGTCGGAGGAGGCCTCGGCCAGGCCGTCCCTTTTCTCTCGCAGCACGACTTCCGATCTGAATGAAGAGGCCATTATCGAGGACGACACTGTATCACGCCGCCATAAAAAACGCCATAACAAGCGATCTCTCCGCCGCTACCGCAGACACCGCAAAAGACATGATCAAGATGCTGCCACAGACGACGTCATTCTTGAGTCCGTCGAGAACACTTCCCCGGGCCCCCCGGGCGTAGCTGCGCCGTCTGTCAGCAGCGGCAGGATTGCATCTGTCCTCTTTACCGAACCCACCAAGAGTCCCTTCGGAAAGACTCCTGACCCTGCTGTGTACCGTCCTGGTGAGCCTCGCCGCGTGGACTTTGCCATCGCGGACCCCAATCTCAGCGGGTCCAACAATGTCGACGAATTCGGAAACCCGACTGGTGCTGCTGCCGACTTGGTTTCAGCCCGGCGTGCCTTCAATTTGCGTGCCATGTCATCCCTACGCCCTGTTGCCAAGAGTCTCGCCCCTACCGTCTTCACGCAACCCGTCGGCCCCCAGTTGGAGACTGCTCCTGTTGGGCCCATTCCTCGCATTCGCTACGGCATTCACCGCACCAACTCGCTTCCCGATCGTCTAAACCACCAGTACCAGTTCCGTCCTCCCGGTGCCATGCTCCCGTCGCAGATTCCTGTGAACAGCTACCGTCTCAAACCCCCGGTTACGCTGAATGGTAGTAGCGACGAAGATCGTGTCTTTATGTCGCGCAAGGCGGCCATCCTGCTGCTACTTATCACGACGGGTCTTGTGGCAGCGTGTGCCGAGTTCATGGTGGCGTCCATCAACGGTCTTGTGAAAACCAGTTCCGTCGGCGAGGTCTTCATCGGTCTCATCATTCTACCCATTGTCGGCAACGCGGCCGAGCATGTCACAGCCGTCATGGTCGCCATGAAGAACAAGATGGATCTGGCCATTGGTGTGGCGGTTGGTAGCTCCATCCAGATTGCCCTTTTTATGACTCCACTCGTTGTCATTCTGGGCTGGATCATTGGCCGTGACATGTCACTCTACTTTACACTCTTTGAGACGGTGTGCCTCTTCGTGTCGGCCTTTATCGTCAACTTTTTGGTTCTCGACGGCCGCAGCAACTACCTTGAGGGTGCCTTGTTGTGCTCGACGTACATCATCATAAGCGTCGTTGCCTTCTTTTATCCCAAACCCGAGGATGCCAGCTCGTGGGGTTAAAAGGGGCGGTCACCGTGGCCAAATATTGTTTGCTGCTTTGCCATTTGGGCAAGTATAATCAAAGCAAGCAGACACATGTTGCTGAGGGCAGCGAACCCAGCACTAAAATTGTAAGTCGTGTTATGAAGAGGGAGATTTGTGAAGGAGAAGATGGCGAAAGAAATCAGAGGATGAATCAAATTGTCCGGTGACGTTCGTTCCAATGAGAAGACTTGATGGAGAGCTGAGATTCGTTCAAATTGAAATCCAGAAGGGGCCAGACTATTCCTGTCAGTTTACACTACAGGAAGTTTGTAGGAGAGACGCTTTACTTTCGTAATTCGTGTTCACACGGATTTTATTTACCACTTTTTATTTGCTTTTTTTGTTCGTTGTTTTTGTCATTCGATTTTCTGTCTTCTATGCATTCAGTTGCATTACTTTTACTTGGCACACCTTTGCTAGAGTTCGATTAACTCCTAAACCACGTCTCCTTGTGCCTACATAAATGTCTGAGAAATTGAGTCAATTTGCAATTGTGCGTGTTTGTATATATACAGTCACTTACAGCAGAGATGGGCAGGAAGGTATATGAAACAAGGTTTGAAATTTAAAAGTGTAAGTCTTCGCAGAGAAGTACCGGTCTAAGCCGAGAACGTGCATGATGACAGGATTAAGAAAGACACATGGAATCCCTATCATGCTAAGACACCACAGAGAGAGGAAAAGATCGAGTTAACCGATGCATGTAGAAATAAAAGTCAGCCTTTAAAAGTTACACAAACAAAAGCCACCCCAAGATAATAATAGAATATACCTCAGCGTGCCTCGCCGCCCGAAACACAAACCAGCAAATAGCATTGAGGAAACTTCCAGGCCAAGGGCCTATGAAAAAGACGAAAAAATAGACCACCGAGAAAATAAATGCTGCTTCGCGTCTCTATCGTGTTTCCGTATCTCCTTTGCAGTGACATCTGCTTCTAAGGATGGCAAACATTCTTCTGCTCTTATCAATGTAGTATATTAAAGAGGCTCACCCCGTCAAGGAGGGAGACATGAGAAAGAGAATAAGAAGATAACAGTTAAAAATAGAGAGGAACAAGAAACCGGTTGTTGACAAGAGGCGAAAACAGGAGGCAGGATTGAAGGGGATGTATGAGAGGGGTGGGGGGTTATAAAGATGAGTTGGTCGCCTGCAAAAGCGAAACAAGGCGGTGCGTGGTGCGTAGTGTAGGTGACAAGAGAGAATCGCATCAAAGTGGAAAGACGCTGCAAATAAGATATCGGTGCAAATTTCGTAAGACAAGAATATTTCCCAACGCCATATGCAAGTTCTCAAGAAAATGGCAGACACACGAGAGACGCAGCAAGACTTCGTTTCGACAAATACCAGACAAAAGGAACAACAAAACAAAAAGAAAATCTGCAATGGCCAGAAGCAACCGTCATCTTAATGAGCTTGTAGCCATTACTCATCACCGCCTCGAGCCTTAGCGCGCCGGCGGAAGAAGTCCATGACACGCCGCGCTGCACCGCTGCTACCACTGCGGTCGTGGTGCTTGGCGAACTCGTCAGTGTCGTAAGCGTCAGCCATCCGCTTGTTTTTCTGCAAGACAACACGGCCACCACGGGCGTTGGTCACGTTTGGGTTGGCACGCCGCGGATCGAAGGCCTCAACATCTGCTTGGTACGGTGCGGACCGAGGTGGGTTGCGCTGCACATTGTCAGTCACTTCTTGCAGAGCAGAGGGTCGTTGGCGCTCGAATTGACTAGCAGAAACGTGGCGCTGGTGCTGCGGTTGTTGGGGTGGCTGCTGGTAGTGCAAACTCGGGCGGCCTTGCTGCATGGCGGGCGACTGTTGCAGTCGTTGCTCTTGAAGTTGTTGCTGCTGGAGGCGACCACTTTCTGCTGCGGCCTGCTGCGACTCAGACAAGTGCGTGTACATGCCATCGAAGGCAGGTTCGAGGCTGTCGGTGGGCGACCCAAGTCGGGCATCCTGTGGCGGCTCCTGGATCGGAAGGTCGGTCTGCGACTCCGGGCCCGTATCGTAATCCTTGTTGATGCCAATCGACTTCAATGAGAAGGAGCCGGGAAGCAGAGAGAACCGCCGAGTGTGCTGCTTTTCATGAGACGTCTGAGAGCCCTCGATGCTACCCGACCGCTTCTTGCCCAAGCCGAGAGAGAACGACCGTCTCGACTGCCGTGCGGTGGAATCCATCGATGCACGCGGCTCGTCCGAGGGAACGACACCACTCTGGATAGCTGTATTGTTTGCCATACTCACTGGCGGGTACTTGCGCGAGGCCTTTTCCATTCCAACTGACTGGCGCTCGTCTGGCTTCTTCCGGTTCTTACCGCCAAAGATGGAGCCGCTGCGGCCGAGGAGCTTGTCGGTGATGTCTCCAATCGTGTTTGACCGCCGGTGGCCCTTGACCTCGGGGGTCGAAGGCTTCCCAGTGCTAGCATTCTCTCCCTCGCCATCAGCAAATCCAGAAACCTGGGCGAATTTGGGTGGCACGCTGATGCTTGGGCGGCCAAACGTCGACGAGTCTTGCGGGATCGGGTTCGAGATGACGTAGTTACGACCACTGTTACTCTTCGGTTGTTGGATTCTGCCCTGCGCATTGGTGCCGGCCACGGTTGGTGGTACGGGTTGGCCAAACGAGGCGCGATTGGGTGTGGTGCGCGGGTTCGCGGGGCCCACAGAGCCGCCAGTGACCGGCCGGCCACCAGAGCCTTGCACCATGTAAGCGGCTTCAGAAACAGCGCGGCTTCCATCACGGTTAGAACGCGTGGTGCCAGCGCCAGTACCTGCTGCGGCAACAGCAGCCGCAGTGCCGGTCGTACGGTGGGCACTCGGCGGGCGTCTTGGGTCGCGAGATGACTTGCCAGTTGGCGGATCGCGGGGCAGCGGCTTCTCGTTCGGCGACGTTAGGCCAGCGTTGGGGTTGACCGCAATGGGGCCTTGGCTGCCGGAACGAGCCCGCGTCTTTCCACCACCAGACGTCGCCTCGCCGCCACGCTGAGTCTGCGTAGTAGGTGCCACGTATTCGACTTGCACCGTCCGGCGCTTGTTGTCCTTCTGCTGCTTGAGCAAGGCTGCTTCGGACTCGGGATCGACGTTGCCTGCCTTGCTGATCAAGCCACCAATTGTTGGTGACACGACAGCCTTCTTCGACGCCTCCCGCACCGACGAGCTGCGACCAAGCATCCGATCGTCTTCAATGTCATCTGCTGAAATAGGAATGTTCTGGATATCGGCGGAGCTCGTGGTGCTGCTCGTGATAAACTCAACCACATTAGCATACTCGCTAAGCCAGCTGTGTCGAGCAACTTCGAAGAGATCGGCACGTTGCCGCGGGTTCGGAACGAGAATGCGTCGCAGGAGGTCCCGGGCGTGTGGTGTGACATATTCAGGGAAGGTGAGAGGTGTGTTGACAATGTATTTGTAGAGGAGATTGATGTTATCGCCTTCGGGGTTCTTCGGATCGTCATCGAAGGGTAGATAGCCCGCAAGCATGGCGTACTATGAATGAATGTTAGTATGAAAGCGAAAGCTGTCTCGTGAGAGATACACTTGTGACCTACCAGAATAACACCACAGCTCCAAACATCAACCTTGCGGCCTGTGTAAAGAGAATCGCTGACAACAAGCTCAGGGGCGGCATAACAAGGGCTACCACAGCTCGTCTGCATCAGATCTGCTTTCCGCATGCCGTTGGGCTTGACGATGTCGAAGCCCATGCGCTTGATATACTCGCGGTCAACCAGGTTGATCTCTTCATCCTCAGTAAGCTCCTCGGTCGGGTCGAAGGTGTTGGCAAAACCAAAGTCGGTGATGATAATGTTGCGGTTCCGGTCCAGAAGCAGATTCTCCAATTTCAGATCGCGGTGGACAATACCCTTCTTGTGTAAGTAGCCGACACCTGAAATAAGCTGGGCGAACAAGCGGCGGGCGGCGTGGTCCTTCAGATAGCGGTGGTTGAGAATGTAGTCGAACAACTCTCCGCCTGAAGCGTATTCCAGAACAATGCCATAGTGGTGTTCAGACTCCTCCATCTTGTGTAACTGGACAATATTTGGGTGATTTAGTTGACGGAGAATATTGACTTCGCGCATAATTTTCGCCATCCGAGTCGGGTTGCTCCCAAGGATGTCTTTCTTGATGAGTTTGATAGCGACCTGAATTAGGGAGGGAGCCAATGTCAGTAATTTGAACATGTGCAAGGAATTGAGCCGTTGCGTGACAGAAGAGTAACATAAGGTTAGAACAAACCTGGACACCTCCTTCTTGCTTCCAGCCAAGCTTGACTTTTCCAAACTCGCCCTCACCAATGGTGTTGCCGAGAATGTACTCGCCAAACTTTATCTGCTTCTCGCGCCGCGAGTGGTCATGCCGGCTACGACCACCACGGCGGCTCTCGTCGAACTGTTGCTCGGGTGCATTGCTTGTCGGCACAATCGGTGGCGGGGCAGCATCATCATAGTAGTCGTCCTGCTGAGCCATGGCAAGTCGAGCCTTTTCGCGTTCAACGTCAACCTCATCCCGGGACACTGTCACCGAATTAAGAATCTCGCTCGTTTCACGTGAAGGGCCGTGGGACGAGGGTTGCGAGCCATGGTTCCGTATTGGCAAAGCAGTGGCAGCTGCTGATCTTGCACCTCCACTCGCGGCCACCCGCTGGGCATACTCCTGCTCTTGCTGTTGTCTCCGTCGTGCAGAATCGTCACCACGTGTGTCACGAGTACGGGTTCGAGGCGAGTCTGATCCAGTAGCGGTTGCAGCAGCCGCCCTCCGAGAGCTTGAGCTTGAAGATGGTGCACCCGACATGGACTGGTGCTGCTGCTGCTGTGAAGAAGTTCGTGGTGGGGCAACAGGAGGGTTGTGGTGGCGACGACGGCGCTCGGAAGAAACTGGACTCGGTTGCGGATGGTCGGAAATAGCTGCAGCAGCCGCGTTTGCAGCGGCAGAGGGAACAGCAACCGGCGAAGAAAGAGCCGCTCGCGAACTCATGGGTGAG